TTCATTCTACACAGATGTAAAAATGTAAGTGCTATCAGCACCATCTAAATTTTGTTTCAAAGCACATTTGCCTTGACTTACTTATTTTTTGTGTGAAATAGGATGTGATAAATTAATAGTATTAGTAGAGTACGAGTAGGAGTAGGAGTAACCCTAACCCTCCCACTGTAACCCTGAATTATTATTACTACTACTACTACTACTACTACTACTACTACTACTACTACTACTACTACTAAGAGGAGGAGAAAGAGGATGGCTTGCATTTACATAGCCTTTTAAGGTTTTCAAAGAACTTTGCAAATATTTCATTTTATCCTCACAGTTACTTTGGGAGGTGTTATTGTGCAGTCATTTCATTTGATTCCAACTCTCCATGACCCCATCAAGAGGTTTTGCTTTGTTTTTTGGGGGCAAAGAGAATGCATTGGTTTGCTATTTCTTTTTGCAGATCACTTTACAGATAAGGAACTGACACAAACAGTGTGAATTGACTTATCTAGGGTCACATAGCTAGTAAGTATCTTAAACCAGAATTGAACTCAGGAAGATGATTCCAAATCCAGTGTTTTATCCATTGTGGTAGGTGATATTATCATACACATTTTGCAGATGAGTATACAAAGGTTTGAAGTGTTTAAGTGAATTGTCCAAGATCACACACTTAGTAAATATCCAAGATTGGATTAAAACTCATGTCATCCTGCAGATCGATACTAATATTTTGACAGCTAAGAATCCAAAATGAGGGTCAAAGGAAGAGTTCATCCTTATTACTACAGTCCTAAACTGAAAGTATATAATCAAATTTAGAAGATATATGGGAAGGCACTTAGGTAAAGCAAGATCAACTACTTTAATCCCATGATGTAAATATTATCTGTTTTACCTAATGTAATTATCTTTTGATATGTTTCCTATGAAATAAGGTAATAGATCACTCATACCAAATTGGAAAATATGAGGAAGGAAATGGTCAATTTTGGAGGACCTACTGAAAGACAGAGTGATGCTGAAAAAGCTGTTGAAATATAAAATAAGAAAATAAAAGATATATATGCTTTTGCCCAAATTGTGTAGAATTAGACATATGCAAAAAAAAAAGAAAAGAAAATCGTAGGGACTAAATCCAAGTAAATAAAAATATTTGTAAGTACACTTTCATAATGACAAAAAATAGAAATAAAGTATGTCCTATTGATCGGAAAATGGCTACAGATATTATGGTAAAAGAATGGAATATGTAATAGGACAGTGCTACACCTTAAGAAAAAAAATTAATAACTCAGAAAATCATGGCAATATTTATAAATGAGTCAAAGACAATGAGAAAAGTAATATTTACAATCACTTTGACAGTATAAGCAGAAAGCTAATATTAAAAACAAAGTGAAAAAAAGAGCCAGAACAATATATAATTGTAATGTCTGAGTTTAATCCAAGAGAGAGCTTGAGGATGTATTTTTCTCCCTTCTCTGCAGAGGCATAACTGGAAGTAGGTTGGATTTAAATCAGCAAGATATCAGTTTGATTTTTTTTTATCAGACTATGACCGTGTGTGGGACTTTGTGGGCATCAGTAATGCACTGTATCTGCCTAAATTTAGTTGGGTGTAAAGGAATGATAATAGTAACTCTTACCTCTGAGGGATGTTGTGAGGGCAAAATAAAGTAATGATATTAACTTGCTTTGAGAAACTATATCCAAAGCATTTTGTAAATCTTTAGTGCTATAACAACATTACTATTATTATTATTATTATTATTATTATTATTATTAAGAAGACTATGCATATGGAATATTTTATGTACCTTCAGGCTCAGTTAATATTTGTGCCTGTCAGATTTTTAACTTGTAGATATAAGCTTTCATGAAGATTTATAGGAAAAAAATGGCCTAGGAAAAGTCAGGGTGGAAATTTCTGAAAAGATTGTGATCTTTCCTAGTGAAAGAAGTATGTGCATTGATTAAAATATTATTCCATAAGAACATTTGCATCAGATAGGATTCTGGGAAGATGGAAAAGTAGGTCAGAAAATACCAATATCTCCAGATTTTCCCTATAAAACAGATAATAATAGCACCTCAAGGTGAACATACAGTTGTAAAAATAGATAAGAGTAGAGGTAGAACACTTGTCCTCCTGAGACTATCAGAGAAAATCTGAAAAAAAGAAAAAAAACAAATCCCAGGACAAGATTTGGTCCCTGTAAAGAGTAAACACTTCCAAGCAAGGTCTGCTTAAACCACAAGTGGCAAGCACTGGGATTAGTTGGATTGGGAGGCTGCCTTGACTCCAGCTACAGGAACTTTTACCCCTGGACAGTGAGGGGGATGGGCATCTGAGCTGGGAAAGATCAAGGGAATGTCTGCTGACAAGGTATGGGAGACCCAGCTGGTCCATGGAGACTGAGCTGGGAGGGGTGGCAAGAAGGAAACAGCTCAGGCCACATGAGTACAGTAGCAGCAGGGAAAGGATGCTTCTGGGTGTGGCCACTTACAGGAGGCTGGAGGTCTTGGTATCAGTTCCAGGCCAGAGGGGATAACAGAAAGAGAATCTGAAGGGAAAGAATCATCCCCCATCCCCCAGGGCTACAGATGATTATGAAAACTAAGCTGCTACAAATTAAAAAAAAAAATGAACAGGCAATGGAGAAAGAATCCAACCACAGAGAATGGGAATAGAGAAAACTGGGGTTCATCTTCAGATTAGGATACTGAAGCTAAGAAATCCCTTACTACCCCAAAAAGGAATGTCAAGTGGTTACTTGCCCAAAAAGAATTCATAGAAGAATTTTTAAAAAATACTTTAAAAATCAAATGAGAGAGATTGAGGGAAAACTGAAAAAAAAAGTAAGTACAAACCAAGAAATACAGATTATTTAAAGAAAGTCAACCAATTCAAAAAGGTGATTCAGAACCTTAAGGAAGAAAATGACTCCTTGAAAATGAGAATTGGGGAAGAGAAACTAGCAAAGTTTTGAGAGATCAATAAATAATAAAACAAAATAGAAAGGATGAAAAAAATAGAAAAACATCTTATAACATCTCTGAAACACTGCATAAGAGAAACAATTGATCTGGAGAACAGATCAAGAAGAGAAAAAATAAGAATAATTGGACTACCTGAAAGCTAGGATCAAAAAAAGAATTTTGATCTAATCATAGAAGAAGCAATTAAAGACAATTGTCCTGAAGCATGAAAACAAGAGGAGAAAGTAGAAACAGAAAAAAAAATCCACCAATCACCACCTGAAAGAAATCCTACAAGGAAAACCCACAGGCATATTAGAGTAAATTCTGAAACCTCTAATTCAAAGATAAAATATTATGAGCAACAACAACAACAAAAATATGACAGTGCCACAATTAGCATCACCCAAGACCTGGTAGTGGTGACACTAAAAGACCACAGGTATTAAAACACTATATATTGAAGGGCAAAAGAACTGGAGTTCTGGCCAAAAATATCATACTCAACAAAGCTAAGCCTACTCATGAATAAAAAAAAAATGGGCATTTAATGAATTGTCAGACTTTCAGGATTTTGTTTAAAAAAAACCTAACAAACAATAGAAGATCTGACATATAAAAGTTAAGGAAAATATAAGGTATATATCTAAGACTGATGACAAGGGATTCAATAAGGACAGACTGTTTATCTTTTATGTATGTAAAATGTAAAACATATGTCTAAAGTTGCTAGTAGTAGTTAGGAAAGATTGGGGTAAACCTGAGTATGACATGATTTTAAAAAGTAAACCCATTTAGGAACAGCTAAAAAGAGTAAATTATCTTATACAAATGAGATGCCAGAGGAAGAAGCAACACAGAAGAATCATATAGGGGAGGAGGTAGTTCAGCAAACCTAGCTTCTTCAGGAATGAGTTCAAGTGGGAACAATTCATACATATCTAGGAGCATAAAAGTCTTCTAAATTCAGAAAGAAATAAAATATTAAGGGAATACAAAGGGGGAGAGGAAAAATGAGGGATCTTTAGAAGAGAGGGTGAGGGATTAATGAAAAGGGGGATTTGGAAGAGTATTCAGATTAATGAAAATTGGAAGCTAAGCTGGGGATCCTTGGAGAGGGGAAAAGATTAAATAATAGGAGGGCAAAAAAATAAGAGATACGCAAAAACATAAAATAGAGATCAACAGTAGAATTTTTTAAGGATAAAGGAGAAGGTGTGGTAATTGTGATCTCAGACAAATTTAAGGCTAAAATATATTTAAACAAAAAAGCAAAATAGAGAAAGTATTCTGTCAGCCATATTTATCAATGATGTTTTGGACTTAAAAAAAACTAGACAGAATAATGTGTGAATATTGCTGTGGTGAAGGAAATTATTTGGTGGACTTGGAAAAATGTGGAGGCTCAGATTTATGAAGCAAGGCATTATTCAAACAAAGAGAATAGAAGACAAATAAGCAAAGCAAGGTCTTACATAGATGCAAAGGAATGTATATGTCCACATATGACTATGATTGTTGATATCTAAGTATAGCTATGTATAATGCAAATGTGTGGGTGTAGTGTGTATATCTATATCTATATAAATATTTCAGAGTGTATATGTTTATGTATGTATAGTATATATATATATATATATATATATATATATATATAATGTGTATATGTGTGTGTGTGTGTGTATTTATATGAATGTGTTTCTGTGTGTATCTCCACTCTTAATTTTAATCTTCTGGGAGAGGAAGGAAACAGCGGGAAAAGAACAAAGTAAAAAGTATACAGCAGAGAAAAAAATAAAACTCTTAAAGAATAAAAAAAAATGGACAGCTCTCAACACAATGGCATTATTTATTAAATAGGATTTTTTGAAATGGAAATTTATTACTGATATTTTTTTAAACCTCTCACATTCTGCAGCACATATGGCATTATTTCTTTTTAATTTTTTTCTTTTGTATCATCTTACATTTCATATTAAAATTTATTTCTTTTTTCTATTCTCACTTTGTATTTAAGTTTAAAATTTTTAATATTTACAATAAAAAAATTTGCAATCTTCTGCTGCATTTGAATGATTTCCAATTGGTAAGCTGAGTTTTCTGAAACAGTCAAAGGCATTTTTAACCTCTGTATTCCTAAGAGAGTAGATCAAGGGGTTTAACATTGGAATAATCATAGTAAAACATACAGCCACAGGTTTATCTATAGGAAAAATGGCTACTGGCCTTACATACAAGAAGATACAGGGTGCAAAAAACAAGACCACTACTGTGAAGTGAGAGTGGCAGGTGGAAAGGGCCTTTCTCCTCTCTTGTGAGCTACCACCCTTCAGGCAAGAGAGGATAACAACATAGGACACGACTAGTATGAGAAAGATTGACAGGCACATTACCCCACTGTTAGCAATGACTAAAAGACCAAGAACTTGGGTTTCCATGCAGGCCTGTTTCAGCAGTGGAAACAAATCACACATGAAGTGAACAATAACATTAGGGCCACAGAAGGGAAGATGGGGGAAGAAGAGGAGTTGTATGGTGGCATGTACTGAGCCTCCAATCCAGGCTGCTGCCACCAGCAGGTAGCACACACGAGGATTCATGATGGTCATGTAGTGCAGGGGTTTGCAGATGGCCACATAGCGATCATAAGCCATGACCACAAGGAGGATGATTCCAACACCACCAAACAAATGCTCTTCAAAGAGCTGAGTCAGACAGCCTTCCAGGGAGACGGTTGACTTCTTAAAGAGTAAATCTACAACCATCTTAGGAGCAATGACTGAAGAGCAGGAAGCATCCACTATTGCTAAGAAGGTTAGAAAAAAGTACATGGGAAATCTCAAAGTTTGGCTGGCAGTCAACGTTATGAAAATGAGCAAGTTTCCTATAATTGTGAGAATATATATGATTAAAAAGATGAGAAAGAAATTTTTTCTTAGCTCTGGATTTTGTGTAAGGCCAAGCAGAATAAATTCAGTTACATTGTTTTTTTTTCTTCACTTTGCTCAGTCCTCTGCCAATTTCCTAATTTTTCCATAGTCTTATTAGTTATTTTCATTTCTCTTCATTTCTTCCTGTAATGAGATATTGCCTATACCTCACATAAAAAAAAATACAGTTATTTAAATTCCAATTTGAGTCAGTCATGAATCTTCTGCCTGAAACTGCTTATTCTGTTAGGGATGAAATTTGTACAGTGGGAATGAAGAGATACAACATCCTCAGTGCTAAGGAATGTGGTTCATCTCTCCTTCATCTTACAGGTAATTGGTAACAGTAAATTCCTTTCACATAACTAGTTTGTGTGTAACCCAAGAAAGGGAAAAAGTAATGAACATGTTTATTTATTATTAGACTCCAATACATTAATATAACTTCTATTCATGGTTTTAAATTGTATACCTATATTGCACCTACATATTTCACAGTATAGATGAAATTGTAGATAAGGTTAATGGATAAGTGTCTTTTAAGTAAAATGGGAAGGGAGGCCTGAAGTTTGACTGAGATAAGTAAGAAGGTACGAAAATGAAGTGAGCAAAACTTTCATGCCTTACTTTTCCTTATACAAAACTGGGCAAATCACTTAGTCTTTAATTACCTAGGTATCATTTTAAATCCAAAAGCTGAAAAACACTGGATTAAAAATATGGGTAGTAGGAGCTTCCTTGTTAGAAAATTCCTGAATCCAATGAAATCATACTTCTGGTTAAAAAGAAAAAAAAAGTTCAGTATGTTTGAGTAATAATAACAATAACTCATACTTTAAAGTTTACAAAATGTCCCACAAACAATGCCTAATTGAAATCTCAAATAATTCTACAAGGTAAATACTATAGACACAATTCCATTTTATATATGAGGAAGCTGAGACCCAGAGAGCTTAAGTGATTTACTCTTGCTCATCCAACTGGGAAGTGCAAGAGGCAGAATTCAAACACAAGAATCCTGGTTCCTAGTTGAATTTTAGTCACTACGCCCTTCTGAATAGTGAAAGAGGCAAGGTCTTGTCAAGAAAGGTTACTCAATGAGAAGGAAAAAATGCTGGCCCTGAGACACAATGGCTTTAAAAAAGAAAGACTGAGGGGTGGCAATTATGATGATAGAGACATCATAAGGAATTGCTCCCCAAAAGATGGTTAACCCTTGATTACACATTATAGTTATTTAACTAGCTACTCACAGAGTACTAATGATCATTTTAGCATAAAATCCTAGATTTGGAGCCAAAGGGCCTTTGGAAGTCATCTAGGCCAGCCCTAGTGTTGTAGAGATGACCAAATTACAGTGACCAGAGACACTGGCCTCACCCATGATGACACAAGTAACTAGCCCTATGTTGCGAGTCATACTCAGGTTGTCTGATGGTAAGTTCATTGGGGTAATGGAAAAATGGAAACTTTCAAAGCTATATCTATGAATTTCATGATTCCACAGGACTGGACTGAAATATGAAATAAATCAGGGACAGTTATATCCTCCAAACTTATCTTTTCATTAGAAATTTTGCACTCTTTTCAACTTTCCTGCTAATGTTTGGGTCTCCCCATCCATTTAGTCAACTAAACTCTCAACCTTGTTTTCAACTTCAAGCTCTCACTCCAAATTACCTCACATAGTTAGTCACTTGTCATATCTTATCTTCTACCTTCACAACAGCTTCCAGATATTTTTCTTTCTTTAAACCCTCATAGTCATTACTCTGCTACTGGGCCTCCTCACCTCTTCCCAGGTATATTTCAATAGCCTTCTGCTTCATTTCCCTGATTGAAATCTCACTATACTCCCCTATACACACCACTCTGCTGCCCAATTGATCTTCCCAAATGCTGGTCTAATCAAATAAAATAGCCCCCCTCCCTACTTCCCATTCACCTACACACAGATTCATACCCAAGAAACTCTCATGCTTCCTATTAAGATTTTTTTCCCATTTAACATTTAATCTTTTCACAATCTTGGTCCTCCCTTTCTACTCTTCTTATCTCTTCTATTCACTTATATTATATTACTTGCCCTTTTTCAAACATACCATCACACCATTCCATCTCTTAACTCTGGGCCTTTACTATAGTGTATTTTTTTCCCACTTCCATTCCATTTCTTAGTTTTCCTAATTATCTCATAGGGAGCTTGGACTCCAAATTCTGTAAAAGACCTTCACATCCTCCCCAGCAACAAGTTTTTATGTCTCTTTCTCTTTCTTTCTTCCTTTCTTTCTTTCTTTCTTTCTTTCTTTCTTTCTTTCTCTCTCTCTCTCTTTCTTTCTTTCTTTCTTTTTCTTTTTTCTCTTTCTTTAATTTCCTTTTCTTTCAGTCTACACAAGCACATGTGCACACATATTTTTATATTTTAAAAATATAAATGTATAGAAAAATATAATGTATAGAAATACACACATTATGTGTGTGTGTTTGTGTGTGTGTGTGCATGTAACTTGTTGCAGGGGAAGATGGAAAGGCCATACATGCATATATATGTACATATATATATATATAATTTCAAATATATAATTAAATTTATATACACACACACATATATGCACACATTCATACTTACACATACACACACACACACACACACATACACACACTAATATACTGCTAACATCCAACGTATTTAGTGTTACTCATGTGGTTGGTTTGTTTTGTTTGTTTGTTTGTTTCATCTTCTGGTGGAAAAGAAAGAAATTGGTTGAGACCTTAGAAGAAAAGTCCATGGTAATAATCCTCCTCTAGGGAATGTTGTAGCACTTTTCCTAAGTTTTATGCCTGCCTGCCTCTTTCTTTATTACATCCCCTCCTCTATCACACTTCTTTTTCCCTATCTTTCTCCCCCCTTCCTTCCTTCTTTCTTTTGTTCCTTTCTTCTTCTCTCCTTACAGCCTCCCATCTTTCCTCCATTCCCTTTTTACGTTCATGTAGTTTCTTATATGATAGTTTAACTTTCCTCTCTTCCAATTCCACACATTTAGTTAATCATTCTACAATCCTCTATGCTGGTGTCATTTGTGCTCTAGTCCAGTTGATATCTATGTCTTGTCAAACCCCAGTCATGGATTATGGCCACCACCTAATTTCTCATGTCCAATACATGTATTATTTAAAAGGCTTAGAAGAAGTGAGAGGATCCCCTACGTATATGTCATTTAATGTATCTGAGTTCTCACTGTTGAAAGGCATTTTTGGCATACTTTCCTCATTGAATTCTATTCCCCATAAAAATATTCTGATGTGTTTCCCCTACTCTTAAAGATATTAAGAAATAAAATTTAGATAGTAACTTACTGGTTGTAATGCATTTTACATATGTTACCTCACTTGATTCTCATAAATCTCCCCAATTAAAAAAATGAAGAAACTGAAGTAAAAAAAAATATTCAAGATCACATAGCTAGTACATATCTTATGGATCAAAATCTGGTTTTCCAAATTCTTAAGCTTGTACTTTATCCACTGTACCAGGTAGCCATCCTAAACCTGGATTAGAAGTCAAATTCCCACCTATTTTACTTCCTATTATTTTGACGTTGGTAAAATAACTTGATGCCCAGGAACTTCAGTTCTGCACCAGGAAGATGTCTTTCCTTTCTTGCTCTTCTGACAAGCCTACCTTTTGCATGGCTGGATACAATTGGCACTGATCAAGATAAAGAGTGAGAATTGAAGTGGCTGCTATGGAAACTCAAATATCTGATGTAAAACTCTACCTTGTGCTTTGCAGAAGGATTTGAATTATCATGCACCACTTTAAGATGGGAAAAAAGAAAGAAAAATAACTCAAGAATTTCAGAAATTATTTAGACACTGTTCAATGGAATTTGTAGTAAATCATAGTTTAGCTTCATAAGGAACCTCTTTTCAGAAAGACAAGTAATTGAAACGACGTTCATCTTGAGATGAAGATGGAGCATCAGTTACATCCAATAATTACCTTTTGGATAACAATAGCTTTAAATACATTTCATTACTGCAATGGTGTCCCATTGAGGATGTGTCTCCAGTGACTAGTGAGTTAACCAGCATAACAGTGAGTTTACTTTTTCATTATATGAGGTGGGGGAAGAACATCAGCTGAGTTAGATAAAGTTGAAAGTGGTAAGGGAAAAATTAGTTCTTTTTTCTACTAGCTAGTTAGTGGTTATATCACCAAAGCAGATAGTTGGAAAAAACTGTAGTACCACCCATGAAATAATAGTGAAATCAATGAATCCCTATTGGTTTTGGAGAATACAATCCTGAAGATGTCTTACTAGCAGAGGAGATCCTTGCTGCCCCAGCAGAATCTGATCCCCACTGGAGAAGTTTATTTGCAACCAAGGAACCACATATGCTGAAGTCCATAGGGATTATTCTGAAGTTCCCTTTTGTTAATGTGTTCACAAAACCCAGAAAACAATCTCTAAAGATTTCTCACCTTTGCAGTAATAAAATGAAAATATACCTGGATTTGGAGTCAGAGAACCCAGGTATAAAATCCAGCTTTATTTTTTTTATACCCGGTGTATTTTTTCTTTGATCATCTCATCATTGTGGGCCCAACTGTTCTTATTTGTAAAAGGAAAGCAAAACCTTATAATGGATGGATGATCTCTAAAGTCTCTTATGGTTCTAAATCCTATGAAGTTCCATCACTTTTAGCTGAACAAGAATTTAGAATGCTAGGTTACAAGAAGCTTAGCACTATCTTTTGGCAGAGTAAATTTGTTGACTAATTTGAAAGATGTAGAAAGATCTTGTAACTCCTATACACCACCTACAACCACACATCAAAATGGTTATAATTCTTCCAAGTAAATGTTATTATTGTTTTACATAATAATAGAAATACTTGATAGTGGTGTCATACAAACATTACCAGAAAAAATTTAAAAAACCAAAACTTTAGAATCATCTCTGTGGACTTCAGTATTTGTGAATCCTCATTTTTAAATAGACTTACTAGTGATGGTCAGATTCTGCTGGGGCAGCAAAGATCTCCTTTGCCAGTG